AGCTCGCGCTTGTAGCCTTTCCTGCGGTGCAACAGGAGGTGAAACAGAGTATAGACAATTGCAAGCATGACGCCACAAGTGGAGCCCCATGCGTGCAAGCGCGTGCAACGCGCGGGTGAACGTAGCTTTCGCAACCTCGTAATCGCACGGGCGTGCCTGCTCGAGCAGAGACATGGCGGCGGCCAGTCGCCCAGCTTGCAATCGTCGATAGTCACCTTTTATCCTCGTAATTTCACCGCGACAAAGAAGCTTCTGAATCAGTGTTATGTATGACGCAACGGGAGCGGGGTGTGAGCGCGCACGTTCACGAGCAGTGTGCTCGAGCGTGGGTTCCTGACGCCATCGGACGAAAAACATGCCGGGCAGAACGCCGTTCCTCAGTATTAAATGATGGACATATCAACTGGCGACGAGTAAGACGACGGACCTGCTGCCTCGGAAAACATGGCTACCTATGTTTTCCGAGGCAGCCCTTTCCGGAGAACTCCATGAGGAGTTCTCCGGAAAGGGCTGGTGGTCGTGGGCGGAGCGGCTACGATATTACTTCGAAGCAAATAGCATCGGGGACGACCCAAAGAGGCGCGCCGTGCTCCTGACACTGTGTGGTCCGACCACTTTTGACACAGTGAAAGCACTGGTGGCACCAAAGACGCCAAGTGAGTTTTCCTTCGAGGAACTCGTCACCTTGCTCCAAGTTCACTTCGATCCGCGCCCGTCGAAGCTCTTCAGCCGGTGCAAATTTTAACGAAGAGACCAGCTACCGGATGAGACCGTGACTGCACACTAAAAAAACTTGCTGCAGATTGCAATTTTGGAATGGTACAGCCGGCTGCGACCAGCACCTCTACAGCTGACCTGCCAAGCCGTTCGAACGCCGTGGAGTCGGCTGGAACCGCGGCAATTGGTGCGACTACCACCTCGGTCAACGTGACAGTGCTTTCTATCCTGACGTTTCTCAAGGCCTTTGATATAGCCGTACGAGCGGAGAACGCCAAGGACCATCAGCGAAGATCAAGCAAGTCTTCCAGGAAGTCAACAATGCAGAAAATTCACGCCTGACACACCGACGGCACGATGAGGCCACCGTAACATCTTCAACGCCGTACTACCGGTGTGAGGAGCTCCAGAGACCGAGTCCACGCAAGGTCCGCGCATCGCAGTGCAGATACTGCAAGAAGGTGGGTCAGGCTTCTGACAACAGCGCCGTTCACCTGGTTGACCCACAGATAATTTCTGGCTCGGCTGCTCAAGGATCAGGTCAGTTAAGCTCACTGCACGACATCAACTCGTTGAGAGGTGGGCTGACGACAACGGAAAAACTCGCGGTGGGCCTCCATGTGGAAGGTGTCCCTCTTCAATTCAAGGTGGACTCGGGAGCGGCATGCACACTCATCACCGAAGAAACGTTTCGCGCAGCTTGGCCCAGGTAACCGCCCGAGTTCTCATGCGATAACGTCGCCCTGCGCACCTGGTCGGGCGAGGGTCTGGAGTCTCTGGGCACAGTACACGTATGGGTACAGCACAAGAGCTTCAGAGTGAAGTTGCCGCTCCTCGTGATGATGTGTTCTGGATGCAATCTGCTTGGCCGTAATTGGTTTGAGCCTCTTGGTATTGGACTGAGCGGTGTTCATCAAATCTTGCGTGACAAAAGCTTGATCGATGTCATCGAAAAACGCGCTCCAATTTTTGACGGTGGCTTGAACCAGTTCAAGGGTCCGGCCGTGAGTCTGGAGCTGCAAGAAACTACTACGTCCAAGTTTCTAAAAGCACGAACAGTGCCGTTCGCACTGAAGCCAGCGGTTGAAGCAGAATTACAGCGCCTCACGGACCAAGGCGTCCTGGAGCCGACTCAACATTCAGAGTGGGCCAAACCTGTCGTGGTGGTCCCGAAAACGGACGGCACAATTCGACTATGCGGGGACTACCGCTGCACTATCAACACCGTCACACGCAAGGCTGCGTACCCTCCACCAACAATATCAGAGGTACTGGCAAAGCTCCGTGGAGGCAAGATATTCTCCAAGTTAGATCTTGCACAAGCTTACCAGCAACTCAAGGTCACCGAGAGAACTGCTGACATACCAACAATAAACACCATCAAGGGTCTCTATCGGATCGAGCGCTTGCCCTTTGGAGTGTCAGCAGCACCGGCAATTGTTCAGTGGTGCATGGATACCACAATGGCAGGGTTAGCAGGAGTCAGCACCTACCTGGACGATGTCATCGTCTGTGGCTCCACACCGAAGGAGCACGCTCAGCGTCTAGACTCCGTCCTTTCACGGCTTCAAGGAGCCGGCCTGCGACTACAGAAAGCCAAGTGCCGTTTTGGTGTCGCCGAAGTCACCTACCTGGGACACATAATCACCTCAGCGGGGATTCAGGCCACAGAAGACAAGCTGAGGGCAATCAAGGAATTGCCCGAACCGAAATCTAAAGCCACTCTACAGTCATTCCTTGGAATGCTTGCATTTTACGATCGATTCTTGGAAAACAGACCCACGGTGGCTTGTGCACTATACAAGCTGCTGGAAAAGAACGTTCCCTGGAGATGGGAGAAACAGCATGCTGCATGCTGCTTTCAAGAACCTCAAGATGCTGGTACTAGACAAGACAACTCTGGCTCACTACGATGACACAAAGCAGCTTATTTTGTCTTGTGATGCTTCACCGTACGGCGTGGGAGCAGTCCTGGCTCAGGTAGATCAAGAAGGCAGGGAAGCTCCCATCGCGTTCGCATCCAAGACACTGGGCGAGGCCGAGCAGAACTACTCACAATTGGACCGAGAGGGGTTGTCTGTGGTGTTTGGAGTCATACATTTCCACCAATATATCGCTGGACGCAATGTGATTGACACTGATCATCAACCCTTGTTCGGTATCGTAAGTTCCCAGAAGCCTGTGCCCCAGGTTCTCTCCCGAAGAATGCGACGCTGGTGCATTAAGCTATCGGCATACGACTACCATTTGGTCTATAGACCAGGAAAGAAGCACCAGAACGCGGATGCGTTAAGTCGGCTACCCTTGCCCGACAGCGAGGATGAACCGTATCCTCCAAATGATGTGCTCATGATTGAGGCGCCAATGAGTTCACCCCTAACGGCCAACAGGATAGCTCAAATGACGCAAGTAGACCCCGTTCTTTCCCGAGTTTTTCAAGTTGTACAGCGAGGAACTCTCCATCAGATAAACGATGCGATGTTCCTGTCTTTTGAAAAGAAAATTGCGGAGTTGTCGACACAGCGAGGATGTCTGATCTGGGGGTCCAGGGTCGTCATTCCAACCACCGCACGCGCCGAAGCAATGAATCGGCTTCACGCAGGACACAAGGGAATTGTGTTCATGAAGTTGACAGCTCGCAGCCACTTATGGTGGCCAGCCATCGACAAAAAGATTGAATCAACAGTTGGCAAGTGTGCTGCCTGTCAGGAGTGCAGACCGCTTCCTCACAAGGTACCCTTGCCAACGTGGGATCAACCGTCTCAGCCCTGGGATACCATACACCTGGACTGCGCGGGTTCTTTGGAGGGGCAGATGTTTCTCGTCATTATAGACGCATACACCAAGTGGCTTGAAGTGCGCTACATGACATCTGCCACATCCTCATCAGTCATTCGAGAGTTGCGAGCCCTATTTGCAACATTCGGACTACCAAGGAAGGTAGTGTCCGACAATGAATCTGTCTTCATGTCAGGCGTAATGACCGACTTTTATCAGAAAAACGGAATTCAAGCCGTAACCAGTGCTCCCTACTATCCGGCTACAAATGGCAAAGCTGAGCGGATGGTCTACGAACTAAAACAAGGATTGGCAAAGGACAAGAAGGGACTTCTGTCATTGAGAGTGGCGAGACCAATTTACAAGCAACATATAACGGTATCTACTTCAACCGGAAAAAACACCTGCCTTCATGATGTTCGGCCGCGAACTGGCTACAAACTTAAGCAGGCTGATGCCATCCCCAGAACGAGGGCGACAACCGCAAGAAAAGATGCCGGCATCCAAAGCCTTCAAGGAAGGGGAGCCGGTGGTTGTCGTCAACTTCAGGGGAACTCTCAGGTTGACCGACGGCACACTTGTGAAAAGGATTGGCTACTGATCTTAGCTGATAGAAACTGCTTGGCGAAAGATCCGGAGGCACCTCAACCACATACGACGACGTTCATCTTCGTCGACTTCACCCGCTGAGTGGGAAATCGACGGTTCTGACCGTCCTGATGTCTGTCGACGCCCACAAGACGCTCCTCCGCAGGAAGACCCAGCAGCTGGGGATCTCGGATCTGTAGCTACAGAACCACGCAGGATAAATCCACCAAGGACCAGACGTCCCCCAGACCGGTATGGTGACTACGTCTGAGGTTGGAGGGATATTATGTATGATGCAACGGGCGCGGGGTGTGAGCGTGCACCTTCACGAGCAGTGTGCTCGAGCGTGGGTTCCTGACGCCATCGGACGAAAGACCTGCCGGGCAGAACGCCGTTCCTCAGTGTTAAATGATGTCCATATCAATCAGTTGCGGTCTGTGCGAGTATACTTATGTCATACTGGGGCCAGTACTCCTCTGCAAAGTCATGAACATTTCAAGCCGATATCGTTTCATGACCCCTTCAGGAAAATCATGCCCAAAGAAAAAAAATAGAAAAAGCGGGGCGCGAAGAAGGCAATCCAAAAATAAACCGGAGCCAGGATGCCGACGGATCCCCCGGAAAAGAGCATAAGAACGAAGTGCGATTCTAGCGCTGCTGCGGCGTCTGCGTAGAACAAGACGCCACTCTTCAAGAACGCAGACTCGGGAGGTGACGCTCTGGAGAACCCTACCGAAGAGATAGAAGGCGAGTGTAAGACATTCATGCGCAAAAAGAAAGGGAAGTGACTCCGCCTATATTCCGCTCAACCTCAAGAACTTTCGAGAGCCGAAACTCAGAAGAAGTGGCAGTACGAGTACAAGATCCGCCTGACGCGATCTATGGTCTCAATCAAACCGCTTCTATTAAAACTGAAGGTACATCTCCAAGGCACCCAAATAGCCGCTGCATTCTCCATGCACCTCATAGAAAGGGCCAACACAATCTCGGTTCGCACGGACTTGAAAGAATTGGCCGAATCTCCTGAGAAGTTCACGGTGGTCACCATCGAGGAACAAAACATTCCCGTCCAGGTCTTCAGAACTTATGGCGCTACCTGCAGCCATGGTGTTCTCTACAATATATACCCTGTCCAAGAGGACCCTCAAGACGACACACTCAATAAAGAGATTGAGTGCGACAAGATCGACGTCGTTGCGGCTCGTCGGCTGGGAAATCATACTGCAATCCTCCCCTTTGACAGCGAGAAACTTCCAACATCCGTGTCCAAGCCCAAAACGGTTGCATACAGCAACTGCCATCGCAACGGCCACAAGGATGACATCTGCCCTAATGGTGCTGTGAGCCCGCGCTGCGGAAATCAACACCCAGCCCGACCAGCCCTACGGAGGAATCTGCATGCCCAGACTCTTCGCCTTTCTGTCAACAGTGCAAGAAGAAGGGCCAACTTGGGACGGGTTGTCAATGTCCGACATGGCAAGGTATCAAAAAGAAGATGAGAGAGGAAGTTAATAGCTACCGAGAGCAGCACAAGCTCCAGAAACAACAGAAACTGCTTCAACAGCAGCAGCACCAACAGAAGCCGCAGCAACAACAAGCCGAAGCCGAGATCAGGGTAAACAGAGTCCCGGTCTCCTCAAATGTCTCCTTGTAGATCAACAAAGTGAAGCAAGGCACAACGCCGTCAGCGCCATCCAACACGACGGCCGAAATTCAAGAACTCATCATGTTCAACTTCCTGAATGCCAAGCTGGACAGGGTAAACGCAGCCTTCAAGACACAGCAAGAAGAAAACAAGAAACACCAGTCGATCCTGACTAAAGCCAGATCAATATTCAGCCTGCCACTACAATAACATGATAAGGGTTGTTCAGTGAAACTGCCGGTGTGTCGGCCAGCGAGCGGCTGAGCTACGACTGGGACTAATGGGCCTTCCCAACGGGCGCCCGGACGTTCTTTTACTTCAGGAAGCTCACTCCATACAAATCAAGCTTCGGGGGTACTCGTACTACGCGTGCCTTACGATCACAACAGTGAGAGGACAGACAGGCCCATCATCCCCATTCAAATCAGGTTATGCAGCGGCTTACGTCCGCAGTGACTGGCCTCAGCATCAAGTTGAACTCAGGCAGTTTTGCACTGAAAACCAAGAAGTCATCGCGGTGCGAACCCCGGTCCATAAGCACCACCACACCATCTTCGTATCGACCTACTACAGGTTGGCATCAAGGAGGTCGACCGCGGCTGGATCGCCCACCTACACCATCTGCACCCGAGAAAGCAGAAGCTGTATGGCGGAGATTTTAATCTCCCACACACGGCTTGGGGCTACGACTACCAGACGAAAAAGCGGACGCTCTGCTCGGCGAAAGGCAGACATTCCGCCTACATCTCATGAATGAGCAACGCGTCATGACCAGGATGGCAGCGAGAGCAGGGCAGAAGGACACCTCTCCGGACCTGACTTCAACTTCGAACATACTCACGCACCATCACAAATGGAAATGCTTCCCCGACACCTGGGGTAGTGACCACTTCCCGACATTAATATAGTTCTCGCCAACTCGTAAACTGAAGGACGGCATGATAGAGGAGAAGGTGAAATTCATATAGTGGGACGAACTTAGACAACTCCTGACGGGAGGCGACTTCGCAGACTCGGGCTTTGAAGATTTCCTGCACAACACATTCCAAGGAGCCAGTGTCAACATTAGGACGGCTCATGCCAAGGCCAAAAGATCGCCTCCCAAAAGGGAAAGCACAGGGCGTGGTCTACAAGATACCGTGTGCGGAGTGCCCCGCCGCCTACATCGGTGAAACTAAATCTTTTCCCGAACGCATGCGCCAGCACCAGAACGATGTGCGCAATTTCGATCGCGAGCGTAGCGCCGTCGCGGAACATTGTGAGGTGTTTGACTATCGGATCGACTTCGGAAAAGCACACGTGATAGACACGGAGCCACATATTCGAAGACGCCTGTTCTTGGAGTCGTGGCACATCCAGAATACACCGGGGAACATTAACAGGTCCCTCGGGGCCTTACCATCTATTTACATCCATGGCCTGCGTCACGTTCAGAAAACATCACCTCGGTAGAAGAAGAAGGAGAGGTCGAAGCTCGCGCTGTCCAATTCCATTTTTAGTCACCCCTGAAGAAGGAGTCAAGTCGACCCCGAAACGTTGGGAACTGCTGTTTCTAAACTTTTGGTTTGAGTTTTCTTTTTTTCGAACGTTCCAAGGAGCCATCAAATGATCCATCGTCCACGGAGACGCCCCTACACTCAACCTTCATCTTCTCAAGCTCTGTGCTAAGCGGCTTCGGTTGGTACAAAAGTACCGCAAAGGTCGGAGGACCCCTGCAGTCTACCAAGTCGTCACGAGGGCTATGGTGAAGGCTAAAGTGTACGCCAGGACACTACAAAACAACCGATGGCTGGACTTCAGCTCCTCGCTTTCCGATAAATCCTCCGTCAGGAGACTTTGGATAACAACCCGGGCACTTCTTGGGGAAGCGACGACCAAAGGAGGGATCCACACGTTAGCACTCAAAATGGACAAGTCCGATAATGAACTGTCGGATTTGGCTGGCGAAATGTTTTTTCCTCAGCCGGACCTTGACGGCAAGCCATGGGAAGAGATGTACCTAAAATAAATCACAGTCCCGGACAACGGTATGAACCGACCGTTTACGAAAGAGGAACTCGAGTGGGCCATCCACAAGAGCAAATCCCGATCGGCGCCAGGACCAAACAGGATCACCCCGACAATGTTGAAAAATCTACCAGAAGGCGCCAAACTTCAGCTCTTGGAATGAATGAACCATATTTGGAGCCCAGGCAAGCTTCCAGCTCACTGGAAACGTTCCTTCATAATTCCCATTCTCAGGCCAAAGAAGGACAAATGAAACATTGACAATTACAGACCCATCTCGCTGACCTCCTGCGTTTGCAAAACCATGGAAGAGATGGTACTCACTCGTATGAAATGGTTTCTGGAGTCTACCAGCGCCTTTTTTTTTTTCAGTTCAGTTCGTTTATTTACTCCCATCATACATATGGGTGACGGAAACAGGGACAAAAGCTGCAAAAGGTTCAGCGTGACGAAGCCCTGGCTCCCTAACGGCAGATCGGCAGCCAGGAAAAGTCAACACAACATTTTAAAGACGGAGAGAATCAAGCAGTGCCACGCAGGAGAAACATTTTTTAAGTTAGACGTAAACATTTTGCGTATCGTTTTCTTATTAAGTGCATCAAAACAAACATGTTGGTCTTTTAAAAAGTTTACTAGTAGTTTGGCAGTGTATGCTGTACCTTTTGAAGCCCATATTTTGTTCTTGGACGACGTACTCTCAGGGATCCGGCGCTACGTACTCCGTGTACCATATGTAGTCTAGAAAACCGCGGTAATGGGTGGTTAAAACATTCAGGGATGCTGCGTATACTCTCGCAAGTTTATATTTGTAATATTCTTATAGTTTTGTTACTTTGTGCTTATAAAAAAGGGGGTCAATGTGTGTGTAATAAGACGCATTGGCTACGACTCGGATTGCTTTCTTGTGAAATAAAATTAAAAAAAAGTCCATTAAGGTTTGTACTGGTCGTAGTTGCCCACACTGGGTGACAGTAGGATATACGAGAATTGAACAGTGCATTATATATTAGGAGTTTAACATTATATGGTGACATATGGTGAAGTTTATATAGAATGCCTACTGTATCAGAGAGTTTAAGTGCAAGATTTTGAATATAGGAGTCCCATAGCTTATGTTCGTGAAAAATTACACCTTAAGTTTTAACAGTGTGTTCAAACTCACTTTCCGAAGAGTTCAACATTAACATTTCAGTAGCATTGCACACTGTGCCTTTTGATTTAAAGGTAATGGCTTTGGTCTTATTTTCATTTATTTCTAAGGAATTTGAGGCAGTACATGAACTAAGTTTTTCAGACAAAAGTTTGCATCGGCAACTAATATATCAATGTAGTTCCCTGGAGAAAACAAATACTAGTATAGTCGGCATAAATGACAAATGAGGTGTTACCTGCAATAGCGACTATATCATTTATAAACAGATTAAAAAGCAATGGTCCTAAGATACTTCCTTGAGGTACCCCTGTTCGGACTGCTTTCAGAATTGAAGAAAATCCGCTGATTTCAATTGTTTTTATCCAACAGCTTAACTCTTTCAGTACCGCGCCATAGAAAATCGGACACGGAGTTACGATGACTTTCAAAGCGTCTGAAAAAATCAAAATTGGCGCGTCAAGACAGACAGCGCCACCTAGTTTGCTCGTAGACATCTACTTTTTCAGTTTCGGTTTTGGTTTTCATCTTCTGACGTGAGACGGCGCTGTTAAAAACGAAACTTAAACCAAAAGTTACCGCGTAGTCGGGAGCCATGGCGTCAAGTTTGCCGCGCGCACCTCAAAAGCGGAAGGCTGTTGCAAGCACTTCGGCCGCTTTTTCTGCCGATTTTTGTGACTCAAGCAGCAGTGATGACTCCAGTAACGATGCAGGGTCGTCAGATTTTAGTTCTGACAGCGACACTCCAGCTCAAGGTCCGGGAACGTCAACAGGAGCTCGCAGGTGTGTTTCGTTTTAGCTTGCACACTGTATTTATACAAACGCGCGCTTTGTATTTGACGACAGCGTTTTTTCTTGCATGTTTAGAGTCTCAACAACGTACGGCAAGGATACTTTTCCGAATGCGTCGCGCCGTATCCAGTTTTCGCCCAAGAGACAGCCCGGTGTCCATGTTGGCGCAGCACTGCGGAGCGACTCACGGCGCTTCTCAAGAGCACTAGATTTTTTTCTTTTGTTTTTCACTTCCGAGGTGGTAAGGACTTTGTGTGAGAACACAAACAAATATGCTTGGATGCACATTTTGGACCGGCAGACATACGCTCGGCGTGACGGCTCCTGGGAGAAGGTCACACCGCTCGAGATGCTGCAATTTATTGGGATTCTCATCTACATGGGAATGGTTGAAGTTCCGCGACTGCACTTATACTGGAAAACAACAGGAATATTCAGAGGCCTTCTACCACCAAATATTATGCCAAGAAAGCGCTTTTCTGCGCTGCTGGCGTTCTTACACGTATCGGACCCGGAGGACTGTGGAGCTGCAGCTTCTGTCGGCAAAACCTGGAAGGTATACTGGCTGTTGAAGCACATCAATGAAAAATCAGCAAGTTTTTTCCAACCACGGCGTGATCTCTCAGTCGATGAACGCATGGTAAAATCTAAAGCCCGATCAGGAATAAGGCAATACATTCGAGACAAAGTGACGAAGTGGGGATACAAACTCTGGGTGGTGGCAGACTCAAGAACAGGCTACACCCTTCAATTTGTTGTGTACACTGGCAAGCGTGAGACACCAGGACCTCACGGTCTAGCTTTTGACGTAGTCACCAAGCTCTGCACAGAGTACCTTGATCAAGGGTACAAGATTTACATGGACAACTTCTATACATCAACGAAACTTTTCGACCACCTCCTTGCGCGCAAGACGTTTGCATGCGGCACATCTCGCAAAGATCGCCGATGTTTTCCAGCTGAATTGAAAGATGCTAAATGGGAAAGAAGAGCTCAGCGGGGAGATGTTAGATGGATTCGTGAAGGGAACATCCTCTACATGCAGTGGAAAGACAGGCGTGCGGTAAACCTGATGAGCACGATGCATACAGCAAACGAGCATGTTTCGGCCCAACGAAGAGAAAAAAGAGGGGACAAGTGGACTTTGAGGACCATCAAAAAGCCGCTTCTAGTCCACGAATACAACGCTGGAATGTTGGGAGTCGACAAGTCGGACCAAATTATTGGAACATACAACGTCCTGAGGAAATGTGTGCGTTGG